GGGAGCGAGATGCCCTCTCCGGGCCGTACCTTGCCCAGCTGCAGGTCGGAGAGGGAGCAGGCGTCAATGAAGGCCTGGGCTATCACAGAGAGGCAGGCGTCGATGTGGTCGGTCTTGTCGATGTCGAAGACGAACTGGGGGTTCTTCAGGATGTTGACCCAAAACCTCAGAGGCAAGCTGCGGGGGAAACAAGCCAGGAACACGCACTGGGTGAACGTTTGTACTCCAGAGGGAGGGGAGGAAATGCAGGAAGGATGGTGATGGGAAGTGAATAGTAGAGAGGGGAAGGAACAAAGGAGCCAGGTCCTGCTGTTTAATCACGTCCCGGTAGCATACGGGCCCTACCTAGCTAGAGGGGCAGGCACACGTCTCCCCCCGAGGAGCCATTTCCCCAGGCTGGAGCATGGACTTCATGCACAGCCCTGCCTAGGCAAGCGTGGACCCGGCGCTCCCTCAGCGGCTCCCGAGCCCGCCGGGGCCAGGAGAGACACGGGCAGACCTGCCGGCACGGGGCTGTGGGATCGGGCTTCCCCACGAGCCGACTGCTGTAGCAGCGGTGTCAGCTCCTTCCGCGACAGCGACCGTCACCTGGTTCCGATGGCAAGCCTGGGCCCGTGAAATGCATTGCATGGGGCTTTTTTCCTGCTCTCTCATCATTTTCTCCTCCAGTTACTGCACGGCTCCTTTGGCCACAACACAGTTTCCAGTATTGCTCACCCTTCCCACCGTCCCTCCTCAGCAGCCGAGGTCTTTGCTCCAGGGGCAATTAAAGGTAGTGAAGGGCAGGCAAAGCTGCAGCCCAGGGGTTGTGTCTGCCTGCCTGCTATCCCAGCCAAATTCGGTTTTCACTTTCACACGTTGGGCTGGAAACAGCTACTGTCCCTGCAGCCCCAGAGGCTGAGACTCCCCTCCACGCTCCCTCCAGGCTCCCTGCCCTCCCCAGTTACACCCCCTGCTTTCCCCCCCTTCACTTTGGCTGCCCCCCCACACTCCTGCTGCTCATCGCGTCCCCCAGCACCGCTCCCGGCTGCCCCCGGCGCCGTGGTGCCCACCCGCCCGTTCCTGTCACAGCACCAGCTCCGGGAGTCCTGTGAATACCCTGGAGTCGCAGCTCGGTTACACAGATCAGTCGGGAGAAGTGCCCCCAAGGGCTGAAAAGCCAGAAAGCAAATGAAAAGGAGCCAAATATGCTGTTTCTAAAAGCTCCACACTGTTTTAAGACCTGGCATGATTTTGGACACTGTCTCAGACCCCCAGTGCTTGGAGCTAACACCATTGCCATCTCCCACCATCCCATCCCTCTTCTGTTTCTCCTTTAATTTTTTGTCTCAGTGTGCCAGTTCGCTCTGCCCTGTATCTGTCCGGGGCTCCTCTGCCAGCTTGCTGCTCCCCTCAGCTCTGTGTTTGTTCAAACGCTCCAAGCCTGTGTTTGGCCTCGTCTTTCACCGCCCCCCTGCCACCCCTCCTGTTTTCCAGGTCCCTCTTCTACTTTTAGCAACCTCATGACCCGTCTGGGACACCCCGGCTCTGCAGCTGCTGCTCCTGAGGGATGGGAGGAAGGAAAGAGAGAGAGAAGAGATTTCCTCTTCCAAACCTGTTGGTCTTCCAGATGTGCATCGTGTCAGGGTCCGTGATCCCTCTTTTCTCTGCCTGCTCCTCTAGGAAGTCAAAGAAATACTTCACGGCCACGGGTGGTTTGTCATCTCGGATACTGAGGATGGCTTTGAACAAGTCGTCCAGGAACTTCTGCAGCGTGCCCTGCGGGACAAACACAGACGGTGGGGACTGGGGGAGGCAGCAGCACCCGAGCCCAGGAAAACAGCGCGAGGGGCTGCGACCGCTGCACGCAGGGGGAGATCCTCTGCGGCCAGTTGGGTAAATCAGAAGAGAAAGGGGATGCTGAAGCGGGGAGGGAAAGGTTTGTTTGTGCATAGCAATGCAATTAGCTTGCGTTTGGGTTTAATTTCTTTTGGCATTGGGATTTTCTTTCTTGCTGCTAGGATCTCACATCTGTGATTGTTCTGCGCAGTAAATACAAAGAAGCCTGGAGACTGCTGGCCACTCCTGTGATCTCTGCTCCAGCGAGGCATCACGCTGGGATTAAAGATGGGCTGGGAGCCCAACTGCTGGAGCTGAGCACTCGCAGAGAGTGGGGAAGTTCAAATCTGAATTAAGATCGCACAGCCATTCCCCCTGCTCCGAGAGCACCCCCATCTCCTTTCCCAGCAGGGTCTCTCGCTGGGGAGACGGGTTCAGGTCTCAACCATGGTACACCACGAGCCCTGAGGCGGTCCCCGTCCCCTTCATGTGCACGGGCCCGGGGAGGTGGTGTGGGGCTTTGAGCAGCTCCGAGGGCGAGCTGGGAAGCTGGAGGGAGCCCAGGGAGCCGGTGGCGCCCGGCAGCCTCACTAAAGACGTTCCAGCCGTCGGGGACATGGGAGTCCCACCGCCCCTGGAGAGTGGGCGGCCCCGCCGCGCTCCCTCCCTAGAGAAGGCGTCCGGCCACAGACCACGAAGAACCATCCCAGCCGCTGCGGGCAAGGGTGTACCCCCCTACCTTTGTGGAGAGCAGCCGGGTCAGGTAGATCTCTGGCAGGACTTTCTTCCTGTGGCTCTGCCTGTGGGACTTCTTGTGTTCCACGGACTCATCCGTGGGGAGAACCTGGCCCGATACAGGACATGAGTTCAGAGCGCTCCTCTCTGGAAGGGTCGCACTGAATTTTCCTTTAAGTATAGAATTTCAACTGCATATAACATTCAATTAAAAAGCAGTTACTGTGTTATAAGTACACCCTTGCATGGCTCTAAAAAAAGAGATTCACAGCATGCAGCTTTCCTGACGCTTGTTGCTCCTGCACTCTCCCCTGCCTCTCCCCAGCCAGCCAAAGGGAACGAAGCCATCCATCTCGCTGCCTGTCCGCCTGCTCGCTCCCGTCCGGCTGCAGGGCAGGCTCCCGGCGCAACGCGCGAGGCGGCCGCAGAAGCAGCTTTGCTCAGATGTGGAGAAAGCGCAAGAGCCATCAGTCAGTATTCCTACCCCAGCCCTCTTACACACAAAAATACATATTCCCCTGGCCACGCCAGTTCATTACTGCTCTGTAATGACCTAGCAAACCATTTAAGTCCCTCTTGGCATCGTTTCACACGTGCACATTCGGTTTCCCATCCCTCCTCCCCCCTTGCGCTGCATGTACGTGTGCGTGCGTGCGTTCGTACTCTGCGGGAGCACAGGAACTTTAGCAGGGAAAAAAAGAAATCGGGCTATAAAATATTGTTGTTGCCCATAACACTTTTTTTCACAACAGCTTTTAGCAGCATCGAGCACTTCATGCTTCCAGCGTGGTGTGCAGGCAGGAACTAATAAATCTCCGTGGCCCTGGGAAGCAGGCGGCGTGCCAGGAGCTCCCGGTAGGTGACGTGACCAGGGCTGTGTGGGGTGCTGCCGGCGGCCCTGCACCACGCCACGCTCCAACCGTGCTCCCGAGCTCTCCGGGGCTGCCAACAGCCGGATCGGGCACAATTACTTTGCCATGCTGGTAATTTTTCATTATGTCCCGTAGCACTAAAGCCTGCCTACAGAACCTTCCCGTGCCTCTGTGACACCCTCTGAAGAGAACTAACGACCCCTGATCCAGCTGGTTCATCACATCTGCTGTTCCAGCCCACGGAGACAAATTAAGTTAATATCAGCAAGGCTGGGGAGATCTTCTCCTCTTCTATCCCATGCACTGAAAAAACAGGGCCCACAGACTTAAGTTCAGGAGAGCCGAGGGCTTGGTGCACACACAGCCTGGCTGGCCACCTCTTTGCTCCCAGCACTTGCCCGGGGGGCCTGTCTCCCCGACAGCCA